AGGAAATTAAGATTATAAATCAGCATAAATCCTTTAGCTCAGTGTATATTCAAATCTAGAAAATTACCACGTGGGTGCTGCGCTCAGAGTAATGAAAAAAAATGTGATGCGGGAAAAATGCAAAAGTTATGCGGTGTTAACCAAGCATTCAGGCACACGGACTCCTGAAATTGGCAATTTTCGCAGTTACCGGCTTCCATAATTATAGGACTCCTCTGGGTCTCGGGGATCCCGGCCCACCACACTTCCTCCCTGCCCATCCATTTAAGCCTAAAAAGAGTTCGAGCGACAATGCAAGGGAGGAGTGAGACAAGCCCCTAAGCCCTGGCCGCCGAGTCGGCCATACGTCTCGAACCCCTGGCCGCCGAGTCGGCCATACGTCTCGAACCTGGCCGCCGAGTCGGCCATACGTCTCGAACCTGTACTAAAGCGCTCACATGGACTCAGACTTCGCGGAAAGTCCCAACAGAAGAGCTTACCCGGTCGGCTATAAAGGTACTGCTGGTATTTGACGGGGTGAACTTAGCGTCTCTTTTATAGCTACTGACTGACAGCAAGCGTTGGGAAAATAAAAAGCTACTGCTGGGATTCGAACCCTCCGACTAATGATTTGAACATCGCGACCTTAGGCCTAACCATCATTTTGGACATTTTAAAGAAGTTACTTTTCGCTGTTCATATTAAGGAGATATCCAAACCATTAACCTTACTGTATAGAATGTTTCTGTGTAAAGACCGCATGACTAAAACGCTACAATGGTACATCACGTAGCAAAATACACATACACAGAAATGATGGTCGTTAACATTAATGTTCTCCCCTGACAGCTTCTCGGTCCTTTTAGTATTTTTTTTTTGGGGGGGGACAGGGCGTTTTCTTTACTTGCACAACAGGACAGCCAAAGGTTGAATCAGGACCGCACTAGTTCTGCTAAATAACATATTATGTTATGTGGTAAATGTGATCTGTGGTGTAGTTCTTCAGACACATTGCCCTGCCCTATGAATGGTGTTTGTTTACAGTAAATTTCTTCTCTAAAAAGATGTAGTTGAAAAGTGAGCACTTTTCTTGTCATGTTATAATTTATTTTTAACATGTGGACCTTATAATAAGTTGTATTTTTCAGTTGTGAGAAAGGTTAATGTGAACACATAAGTGCACTTATTCCTATCAATACTATCTAGCATTGCGGCTTTCCCCCGGGGTAGCATCACTGTTGTGCCCATGAATATGGACGTACGGTAGCATGAACACAAGACGGCAATAAAACACTCTTTAAAAATAGTAAAACAAAGTTGAAAATAAGGTAAACTGAGATAGAAAGGTACTCTTTGAAGGTTTAGATTAAAAGAAATTGATAGCTATCCTTTAAATAAGAAGTTGCAAGTTCAGATTGTCGAAATGTAACTTGATGCAAGGTTGTCACTGAATGTTCCAATTTTATAAATCAGACGATCTCGTCATCGTTCATGCCATTTCACATATGCCAGTCTGAGTACAAGCCAGTGTTTGAGCAAAGGTTTTGATTCTCAAGGCCAAGACTTTAGTGACCCACAAGCCTTAAGTCCAAGGCTTAACTCTGAAGGTTATCGGACTTGGATGAAGAAGCAGAAAAACTTGGTTTAACAATCAAACACGACGAAGAAGTAGAAATAACCGAGACTCCACAAACACTACCGTTACCCGAAAACCTTCGCGAAGATTATGACTATTACGCACATTTAATTGACGTGGCAGATTAAGCCCGAGAAATTATAATCACCTGTATTATAAAAACAGAACCATGTCAAACCAAATTTACATCGTAACCGAAGACTACAAACGTCTTAATGCTCGCAACATAGACACAAACGTTGTATACGGGCCCTTTGACCCGACAGACCCCGTGGTTAAAAAGAGTGACAAACATAAGCAACGCTATTCACCCATTTGGAATAATCACAACGGTCAAGAAAAGCGTCTGTTGGTCATGCTTCCAAAAACACTCTGCTACGGCGTCAATCATGGTGTCAAAGAAAAACTTCCGAAAACATCGTTGGCCAAAAAATCTGATTACAACTTCAAAACCTACGATGGGCATACTCAATCACATCAACTTTATGGTTTACAAATACATCGGTACACAAACGGGGATCCCACCAAATACGATTAACGTTTAAAGAGCCTGTTCTAATTTAGACGACTTAGACGAATCGGGCAAAGTTGTATACGTGGTTAAACCTGGTTACACCAACAAGAACCGCATGTGTGCCAAGTTACATAACGCAACTACGCTGTTTGACCATCATGGAAATCAAATAACACAAGATAAACTCGGTAAGTATATCAGTAACTTTGTGACGTGGTTCCTGTGATTTACCTCAAAGACGTGTACTACGGCACACATGGATCGTTACCTTGCGGAGCCAGCGTTAGGTATAGAAACGAAAAGGTCGTTTTAAAGATTAACAATCTCAATGTCATTTCGGATAAAACAGCATTGCAATCGTTATTGGGATCTGAGAGCGACTCGGAGTAGTTAGTTTATATGTACAAGTTTAACCTTCTGGTAGCGAGGTTTTTCTCTTAATGGTTTTGTTATCTACGTAAATATGAGCGACTCAAAGCAATTCTCTGAAATTGCCAAATGGTTAAGCTCCTGGCTATCAGACCGTTAGACGGTGGGTCTACCGGTGACTTTTATTTTCCCAAAGCTTGCTGTCCGTCGGTAGCCATAAGAGACTCGAATTCACCCCCGCCAAATACCAACAA